TACTAAAAATATCGAATCATTATTGGTGTTTTAAGTGTCCACCCATTGTGAAGAATATAAAAAGTACGACCCGCCAAACATATCGCCGGGTCGAAGTTTTTTACTTGTTGTAATTAATTATTTGTAAACAAATATTTAAAAATAATCTAAATATTTTCAAGATTTCGTAAATCCACATCTAATAAAATGCACAATTAGATCGATTGGATTTCGTAAATCTATATCCCAATTTAGATTAGGCGAGTTTACTTGGAAAAAATCGCTCGTACCGGCAAAAAAACTAATATTTTTAGAAAACGAATTGCCTCGTATAGACTCATGAAGCAAGTTCAAAAGAGAACGATAAGAATGCCGCAAGTAAAATTGCCTAATCTAAATCAGGACTAAATATCGAAATATCGAAAATTTCCACGTCTCCCAAATGTGTAAATGGGTTCTAAGAAAACGATAATCAAAACGGAACAACGAGAAGAATTATCGTCAAAGCAGAGCTAAGAAGTCGATTAGCAGTGAAATTCTCACTTCATTTATAGATTAAATCTCAAGCGGTAACTAGCGAATTTTTTGCGAGTGCTTTCTACAAAAAAGAAAAAATCACATAAAATATGCCTGCTAAAGCTGTTTGTGTTATTAATGGCGATGCCAAGGGTACCGTATTCTTTGAACAAGCTGTAAGTACAATATATAGATGCAGATTTTATTTAACAGGATTTGCCCTACACCGATTCTATATAATTCTATAAAAGTCTTAATTTATGGGTTTGAAGGTCAAGAAACAACGCCATACACAGACACTCGTGCAAATTGTAGGTTTTCGAAGTAAATATAATAATGCCGGCAAAAGGTGAGGGAATGATGGGAATGTCTGGTAGAATAAGTGCGCTCATTAGATAGATATTAAGACGGACTACAGCCCCGAAAAACCAGAAGTCTAATACAAAGTACAATTGCTGGTGTATATTTGTACATATATGAATGTAATTAATATTTAAATATGGCTGTGTATACCTTTACACCTTTTTGTGTGATAAATGCATTGATTTATACATTCAATGAATACGCAATCGGTTGCCTGTCCGGTTCTCTTTTTCATTCTTTATCAATTTTGCTGTTCGTTTGTTGAGAGGGGTATTTGAGGGTTGCCAACTACATTGATTGTCTGTCTGTCATGTCATCGTGATGAGTGAGAAAAAATCAACAGAAATAATTGTGTTTGACCGTTATCTTTTTCTCGATTTGCATTTCAATTGAGATTGTTCGTTATTACTGATAAGTACCATCTTGTTTAATCAGCGGCGTCCTTTGTACATTCGAAAAATTAAATTGGAAGTTCTTGACGATTCTGGAAGAAGTCTGATTTGTGTTAATTTAATTTTTTTTTTTTTTTTGTTCCCGTACTGGTAAAACTTCAAATTCATTGGAGTTTAAGGGTTGAGTTAAAATTTGAAATTAAAGGCTTAAAAAATTTTAATAAGGGAAAATCTACGGAAATATGGACAAATTCAGCCAAATAAGATACTCAAAATGATTTACCATCTATCATGGTTATATTCAACTAGAAGACTACATACCCTGACTTACTTTGATTTGGTTCTGGATAGAATAAACAGGAATTTAATATTCCTAAACTCTTATTATTTTATTTCACAATTCCAAAGTCCGAAGACCACATTTAAGAAATTGACAATCGATAGGCTATACTTGGCTTAAAATAATAGTGCTTAATAGTGAAATTCTAAGTTCAAAATATCAAATTTTTAGAAAAGATAGGATAAATAAAAGGGATGGTGGTGTCCTCATCGCAGTCGACGCCAAATATTCCACTAATGTAATTCAATTAAGTCATTTAACTGATATAGAATTTCTCGGCACATACATTGAATTGGGTAAATTTAAATTATTCGTCACTTGCTCATACATTCCTCCCTCATCACAGCTTGATATTTATAATCAGCATATATTAGCAATACAATCCATAATTAATAATATGAATGATTCGGATCGAATATTAGTTTTTGCCGATATGCCATCTGTGAAGTGGCTTTCATTGCCAGAGTCAGAAGCTCTTACTCCATTGACATCTGATATACATTTAAATCAATTTATTTCTGAAATTATTAGTCGATTTTGTGACATTAATCTCCAACAAATAAATAATATAGTAAATAACTATGAGAAAATCTTTAATCTAGTCTTCGTAAATCATACACCATATTTTGAATTACCTCCTATTTGTATTCCTGAAGATAACTATCACCCAACCCTATGTATAACCATGATACATGATTATTTAATTTCTGGCAATTCGTCAAACTCATTAAAAACTACGTTTAACAATAAAAAACGAACTTTTGCAAACTCAAATCACTTATCTCATCTGTAAATTGGACCTCTATATGCCTTTGTAAGAGTCCTATTGATCTCGAGTTTACAATAGATAAATTTTATGTTACTCTAAAGAAATTTATTTCTGAATGTGTTCCTACTTTTTGGGAATAAGAGGCGTGGGAACGTCGAAAAAAAGAACAATAAAACAAAATGTAATTAATTCTCTATTTGCTTGGCTTGATGCTCAGTACAAAAAAACCACTCAACATTTACTTATCACAAATTTCTAAAAGGATAAAAAGTGAAAGTAGAGAGAAAAAATAACATAAAACTCTGCTAGCAGTCTAAATAACTACTCGGTTTGCCAAGCAGAAATAGCTCATCAACAGGCATTGCAAAAAAAACATAAGTTACAAACTTAGCATCAAACCCAGCACTAAAAAATATAATAACTTAAAATAAATTTAAAATTTCTATGAGTACTGGCTAATGTTTTTTATGTACGCAAAAAATTGGTACATATTCTACTCGCGGAGGCCTTCCGATTTTTGGGGTACGAGTGCATATAAAGTTGTTTTTCTTATAAAAACAAAAATATCGGGAGTCTTATGAGCAGATTGTGTAATGATAAGAAATCTATACCTGGGAGGAAATATATATTAAATAGAAGCCTTTTTCTATCCCCTAATTTGTCCAACATGTATCTTGCGAAACTGCCCGCTACTCCACCAGATGTTTCAGTAGTGTCGTACGCGTATAATTGAGTTTCGCTTCATTGCTATCTGTAGTTATTATGACAGTGCATAAACAAACTGTCCTTATGAATTATTTATTTTTTTTCGAATTTTCTAGGATGAATCATCTCCAGTTGTTGTAACTGGTGAAGTTAGCGGCTTGGCCAAGGGTTTGCATGGCTTCCATGTTCATGAATTCGGTGACAATACCAATGGCTGTACATCTGCTGGTCCCCATTTCAATCCTAAAGGCAAAGAACATGGTGCTCCCTCTGACGAAAACCGTCACGTTGGTGATTTGGGCAATATTGAAGCCAGCGGTGATGGTCCCACCAAGGTAATGTTAATAATAATATAGTAATGATTTCTATGAAATGCTAATATATTATATTGTATTCATTTTTATAGGTAAACATCACTGATTCTCAAATCAGTTTGTTTGGAGCTAATAGCATTTTGGGACGTACCATTGTCGTTCATGCCGATCCCGATGATTTGGGCAAAGGTGGCCATGAATTGAGCAAATCAACTGGCAATGCTGGCGCTCGTATTGGCTGTGGTGTTATTGGAATTGCTAAAATCTAAATTTATTCACTCCGTGCTCAATGGCTTTAATTCATTTCCATACCTATGGTAAAATCCACTATTTTTTATTGTGTTTTAATTTACATACCTTGAATCCGCATATAGAAGAGCAACTTTATAATTAAATTATATACAGCTCCTAAGGTCCCCTTTATATATAGCTGAAAGTTATATATATACATGTCAGCGCAAATACAAACAAATTTGCAATTCAAATGAATTCTTTGAATAAAGATACATATTGGTAAAAAGTAAACAAAATATTTCTTTTATTTAGCAACAATTAGGAAAGGTAAAATAATGGGTAAAAATGGATTAATTGCAAAAATAAAAATTTTTTTGAACAGTAAATTATATAGGGAATGCGGTTTTTCGGTTAAAAAAATATATTTCACGTATGGACAGATTATAACACCGCTTACGTGAGACGGACCCTTAATATGAAATAAGCCATAACTGTAAGAAAAATGAAAGAAAACTAAATGTTGATAGGTAGATGGCGGTCCAGATGTTTTTATGATCGCATAGAATTTGTGCAATGCTCATACATATTTAAAGGGTGATTTTTAAGAGTTATAGAAAAGTTAAACCATAACATTCACGATATCTTTATTTGAATCGATAGTAAGGTCCACACAATTTTATAATTTCACACAAATTTTGATAGCAACAGCGTCTCAAGTAGTCCATCAGCTTTAACCAGGTTAAAGCTGGATCTTCGGCCAAAAATCAAAAATTCAGAAAAGAACAATTTTCTATTCACAGATTTAATTATTCTCTATATTCATTTTTAGAAAAATCCAAAATCATTCAGATGACAGTATTTGTACAATTCGATTACGAAGCGATTAAAATAATTTGGACTGTATATACAAATTAGTACTGTACACACGATTGTTTCTATATTAAAAATCTCATAACATTACCATCAATTTTAATTTTTTAGATTTTTCTTTTGATATTTAATATAAGCTCTAAACATTTTGTTAGGCCACAAAGAGTTGAATTAAAAGAACTGTTCGCGTAGAAAGTTCTGTTCAACAAACTAAATCCAAATTAAACTAGAAATAGTTCCCGTCGTTTATTTTACCGTAACCATAATATGATCAGCTGATTTTTGTTTCTTCCATTTCTCTTTGTTGTTTCGCCATTATGCATCACAGTCATTCGTAAACAATCGGTTGTTCTCGGCCATTTTGTTTCGTCTTCATTATTTATCAGTCATTCTCTCGTCGCAGTATTTGGGACGTTTTTTTATTCGTTCGGTTCGGTTAGAGAAAGATTTTCGGAAAGTGGAAGATTTTCTTGAAATCAAGAAAATAATTTTAAAATAACACGAATAAAAATCACCGTAAAATAGGCATTTGAGGTTCCAATCCTCGCATAATGCTTTTGCTACAAGAAAAACGGCCCCTAAAGCGGGCACTGGGGCCACCAGATGTATACCCACAAGATGCCCGACAACGCGAAGATGAATTGACACCATCCAATGTTAAACATGGATTCGCAACTATGCCACCACTTTCGGATGAATTTGGCACAGCCCATACGTCGAATGTCAATGCCAGTAAGGTGGCCTCCTTTTTCAATGCCATCTTGGCTAAAAAGGAGGAGTTGATGACCCTGCAAGATACGGTGCGTAAGAAGCAGCAAGTCAATATCAAGGAGAATTTTTGGCCGGTGTCACCGCGCACAAAAACTGCATTGGATGCATGGTTTAAGGATTTGGCTGGCAACAAACCATTGCTGAGTTTGGCCAAGAAGGCACCATCGTTTAATAAGAAGGAGGAGATACTAATTACACTGTGCGATCATCAGGTGAATATGCAGAGAGCTACATGGTACATTAAACTGAGTGCCGCCTATACGGCAAGTGTCTCTGAATCGAAAAATAAAAAGAGGAACTTAGTTGATCCCGTTGCAGAATGGACGGGTATAATGATCAAGTTTATGAAAGATTTACTACCCAAACTACAGGAGTACTATCACTTGAGTGAGAAGTGTAAGTATCCATACTCAATTTTTAATAGGTACCCACCAGAAGATAACGAACATTGTTTTTACTTTAGGTACCCCCTCGGAAAGAGCATTAATGAGTGGCTATGGTGCTCCCACTACCCATGCCAATAGTAATGGACAACAAACGGCAAATTCAAATGTCCACACACCCAACTCAATGACTGCGGCTGTACATTCAATGGCAAGTCCTGTGCCTATGCTAAGTCCAGCCAATAACCAATCGTCCACTGGAACATCGATGGGACCAATGAGTAATAACAGTTCTTCCATGGTTGGCTGTTCAAGCAATTCTAGCGTCATGTCCGGTAGCAATAATATGCCAGCTTCAGGTTCCACCATATCGGGCAGTGGTAGCAATTTTGAAGATAGCCGTAATGCCTTGAAATATTGGAATTATTGTGCCCAGCTGGCCAAATATATGCACGAGGAACAGCTGTTGGATAGACAAGATTTCCTAAATTGGATATTAGAACTTTTGGATAAGATGCGTACTCAGTCTAGTTTTGATGAATCCCTCAAGAAACTCATTTTAACATTTGCCCTGCAGTACATGCACGACTTTGTCCAATCCGAGAGATTGTGTCGTAAAATGGCCTATATTGTTGCCAAAAAGCTAACGAATTTGTTAAATGGTGTTATAGATCAGCAGCAGCAAAATCACCAACAGCCGAAACCTTTACTCGCATTGCAAGGTGTAACTCCAATGGAGGTGGATGACATTGATGAGGGTGATAACAAGAATAAGAAGACACCATTAGACCCATATGAAGTGGCCTTAAATGAATATCTGACATGCCCACATCATCGTGACATAGTTTTGTGTTTGAGTAGCATTTTACAAATCGTCACAATCGAGTGTCCAGCGGCAATGGTCTGGTGTGGCATAGGAGAAAATCGTGCACCTGCCTCTTTGTGTGGTAGCCCCCTGGATCATTTGCCGTTGGCACCATCTTCCCTGCCAATGCCATCGAAATGCCCCTTGACCAACAATGAAGTACGTCGACAATTACGTGCAATAGAATCGGAAATAATTTTACGTTCCAAACATGCCGAGAATCGTTGGTTTGCTGAAAAATGGCAAAATGCTAATAAGAATTCTTATACCCATGTTCTGACGATTCTCGATTATTTGGATACGCACTGTTTTGATTTGATGGATCAAAATAATTCCATCGACACACTGTATGCAAATATATTTCAACCATTTGTAAGTGTGCGACGTGAGGTGGGCGCAAATGGTGAAATGAAAGAGATACGCCAAGAGTATGATGCCCAAACCGTGGATGGGAATACTGTGAAGATTTTATGTGAATGGGCGGTATCGAGTCAGAGGTAAGTGTGAAAAACAAATCATTAGAATGGCTAACATGAATATTAAGTTTGGTAACAAAGGACAACACACAGTTACACTTACAGTTACTTCGAAAATAAACAAAAATCTAATTGTTTACCTTTATTACAGATGGGGTGAACATCGCGCCATTGTAGTGGCCATTTTATTGGACAAACGTCAAATTGAAGTTACAACACCCTCGCCGGAAGATGTTAACAATGGCCAGGGTAATGGCACCAATCCCAACGATGACAAAGACTCGATTGCTTCTGGCGCCGGTTTAATTGGCGGCTTGCCGGTATTTCAATCAGTTCTGATGAATTTCCTAGATCACGATGCCCCGGTACTCGATGAAAATGGCAGCACCGCAAATCGTACTCAATTCACAAATTTGGTACATTTGTTTAGTGCCCTTATACGTCACGACGTGTTTTCCCACAATGCCTATATGTACACCCTAATATCTCGCGGTGATCTTTTGGAAGGTGCAAATGGCATGGGTAGCAATAATCTCAGTAACAAGGTGACGAATAGTGTTTCTGGCCCGGTTTCCAATAAACCTGCAACTCCACCGCCTGCTAACCAGGGCTTCGATGATGATTTTACAAGTGGTTTGGATTTCAAACACAATGAATATGATGATTCCAATGTCGATGATGATTTGGAAAAAATATTGCAAAACATTAAAGAAAAGGGTCAGGTGCAGGCTCCAGACAGCCCCAAAATTCCCGAGCACAATAGCAGCAACAGTGGTGGTAATTCAATTTCGCGCCATTACATCTATACTAAACATTTTCCCATACCTCAAGACGACCCCTCAATGTCCTACAGTAGTGAGTCGAATCAGAGGTATATTCTACTGTTTGGCGTGGGCAAGGAACGCGACGAGAAGAAACATGCGGTCAAGAAAATGTCCAAGGAAATTTGTAAATTATTTACTAAAAAATTTAGTATTGATGTAGCCGAGGGCGGAAAGGTAAAGAAACATTCGCGCAATGAATTTAATTTTGAAGCAACAACCAGCAAATGCCAGAATATGGCCTACTTTGATCAACATGTGGTGACATCGCAGTGTGCTGCCACCGTTTTGGAACAATTGAATGGCTTTGCTGTGGGAAGCAACAACTACTTACCGGTACAGGAGCATGTTGCCTTCCTATTCGATTTGATGGAAATGGCTTTGAACATTCACAGTCTTTTGGAGCTTTGCGATCAGATTCTAAAGGAGCTACCCGAAGTGGAAAATCAATTGCAGGCAAAAAAATCAAATATGATACGCAGCTATACAACCTCATTGGGTTTGTATATTGTTGGCATATTGAGACGTTATCACAGCTGTTTGCTGTTGTCACCCGAACAAACAATCTCGGTGTTCGAGGGCTTGTGTCGCATCATAAAACATGTAACTAATCCCGCTGAATGTAGTTCGGCTGAACGTTGTATTTTGGCATATTTAAATGATCTCTACGAAGCCTGTCACCTGTTGCGTTCCAAAGATCAGGAAGCTGAATTTTTCTTACAAATTTCCAATATTAAGAAATTTAAAGATATCATCAATCAACCGGAACAATTGGGTATGGTGCCACAAACGTATAATGCCCAATTTATGCAAGAATTCTTCACATCACCCAAGAGAGGAGGTAAAATTGATCCGGTGTGGTTGAGGCAGCTGCACGAATCTCCAGCAAACATCTATAGCTTTGTATCAAATGCCATTTTTGCCATTTGCCATGAAACCGATAATGATCGTCTGAATGATATAGCAATTGCTTGTGCTGAATTGACGGCTGGCTGTAATGCTTTGTCCGAGGAATGGATAGCTGCCCTGCAAAGCATTTGTAATGCCATGAAGAAAACGCGTTATCCTCATCTATGTCAAATCGATATACAAAATAGTAAAATACACAACTCGTTAGCCGTGTTCATTTGCATTTTGGTGGCGCGACATTGTTTTTCATTGGCGGATTTTGTATTAAATTTTGCACTGCCAACATTGGCCAATGCTTATCCAGATGGCTGTGGAGAAATAACAGCCGAAGCGGAATCGGGTAAGTCGAAAGAGATATATTTTTAATTTGTTGTATTCTCCCCTATATATTTTCGTCCGATTTTATGTAAATAGTGTACCAAAGCCACTATATATCTTTCGATTTGCACAAAATTTGGCATAACGTACTGAATTGAGTCTAGAATGATGTGTGATAAGTTTTGTAAAAATCGGTTCAGATTTAGATATAGCTCCCATATATATTTTCGTCCGATTTATTTATTTTATTTATTTTATGTTATTTCATACAAAGCAATGCAAAAGCTGTTACCAGCCTAATAATTTCATTACCATAAATACTAATATATATAGCAACAATATAAGAAATTCAATCAGTAGCAATAATAAAAACTTAACAATATTGATAACAATTAGCTGGTTCCCCAATTATAATAATTTACAAAAACATTATGTAATAATCAGTTCAAATCAATGCAAAGAACTACTATAATTTACAATTTAAACATCCTTTTGTAAAATGTAGATCAATCTTGATTTACAGCAAACGCAATATACTTTTTTTAAAAAAATTGTAGCAGGGTACGAAAATATACGCAAAAATGAAGGAAGTTGGTTCCAGAGACGGGCAACTCTTACCGTAAATGATCGTTCAAACATTAAAGAGGTAAAACGAGGAATTTGCAATTGTGTGTTGCGGGTGGAATGAGATTTAATGTAAATAGTGTACCAAAGCCCTTTATATCTTTCGGTTTGACATAGCGTACTGAATTGAGTCTAGAATGATGTGTGCTAAGTTTCGTAAAAATCGGTTCAGATTTAGATATAGTTACCATATATATTTTCGTCAGATTTTATGTAAATGGAGCACCAAACTCTTAATATTTGTCCGATTGACACGAAATTTTGCACAGCGTATAAAATTGAGACTAGAATGAAGTTATTATACTTTTTATATTATATTACATACGATATCTATCTGTTTGCAGGAGCTCGTCTTACATGTCATTTAGTTTTGAAACTTTTTAAAACAATTGAAATTCCCCAACCGGGCATGTATTCGGTTAGCACTTCGCCCAATCCATTGAATGCCGTTAGCAGTTCATCCAACATTAAATTAAGTTGTGATCGTCATCTTCTCATAGCGGCCCATAAAAATATACCCCTTGAAGCGGTATTAGCTGTACTGAAAGCAATTCTAATCGTTGTCGATACTACTGCCCTTAAAACTCCCGCTATGGCTGGTAACAGTTCAACGGCGGGTGCCTTTGGCAGTGGAGGTGGCGCTGGTGGTGGTGGAGGTGGTGGCGGTTCGAGCGGAAAACGTGGTAGTGGCTTTAATACGCCCGTCCATCCGGGAAGCACACCCAAAAGTAATGATCGGCCGGTGGATATAAGTCAAATATTGGGTACAAGTGATTTAAATAATCTAACTGGCGATCACGATCATGATATGTCACAACCGCTTTCAACGACCCCCCTAAATGCCAACCAGGGTCCTGGCGGGGAACAAATATCGCTATTGGAATTCGCCCAACATGTGCTCAAACAAATCTGTGCCCAAGAACACGTTTTGGAGCGCTGCCTCAAGAATGCCGATAAACTTTGTGATATGGTTGTCGACGATATGCTCTTACCCAAACAATCACAATCAATACTGCACATGATTTGTTATTCAGAGGCTGAATATAATATCATTTCCGAACTGGATCAACGTTCAATGATTGTACGAATTTTGGAGAATCTGGGTCAATGGACATTGCGCATATCCTGGCTGGATTTACAACTGATGCATAAGCAGAGTATGAATAATGCCTCGGAATGGTTGGATACGGTAGCCCGGGCCGCCATTGATGTATTCCTGATGGAAGAAGTGGCAACCGGTACCGGTGGCAAAACAGAATATCGACCAAAGCCGTCAACATGGCTTGTGGCTCCATTGGTATCGAAACTAACGCCTGCTGTGCAGGGTCGTATATTACGTGTGGCAGGCCAAGTATTGGAAAGCATGAACTATTTTTCGAAAACATCCAAGGCGGATAACAACAGCTCCTGCAGCGGTGATGAAAGGGAGAAAAGCAATAGCTGCGGCAGTGCCAGTAGTAGTTACAGCAATGGCTCCAACGGCAGTTCACGCAACAAGAAAATGCCACTTAACTATCAACCATTTTTGGGTTTAATTTTAACCTGTCTCAAGGGTCAGGATGAGTATAAGGAGAGTCTGTTGGTTTCATTGCACTCTCAGTTATCGCAGTGTTTGCAATCGTATGCAGAGGTGGGTTTATTGTCTCCCCCGAAATGAATTCGAATTGTAATGACATTTTTGTTTAGTTTGACACAATGGGCGGGGTGGATGATCCGCAGGGTCGTGAAGAAATGCTTGATGCCTTGCAATTACGTTTTTCCTTGGTCGGCGGTATGTTTGATTCCATACAAAAGAATAGTACTTCCATAACCGATTGGGCAATATTGTTGGTGCAGCTCGTATGCCAGGGAGTCATTGATCTGAGTAACAACAGGTATAGTAATTTTAAATAATTATAAATAAAATACAATTAATATTGATCTCGTTTTGAAACAGAGAACTTTTCACCACGGTGGTGGATATGTTAACCACCTTAGTACATTCCACATTGGTCTCCGATGGACAATCTGAACGCGACGAACGTTTATACTCGAATCTAATGAAGAAATTAAAAAAAGAAATTGGCGAAAAGAATAATGCATCGATTAAAGTAATTCGGCAACTATTGCCCTTGTATAAACAACCAATAGAGGTAAACATTTATTTAAATTAAAATAGAATGAATTTAGTATTTACAGATGATGATTACGTACCATTTTTAGGTTATATTATGTGAACCAGCAGCCTTAGATCAAAAGGGCAATAAAATCAATGACATGGATAAAAGACTTATGCGTACATCGGAAAAACAGCGCATATCTGTTTGGGATATCCTGGAGGGTCATAAGAATCCGGCACCATTATCGTGGGTTTGGTTCGGTGCCGTTAAATTGGAACGTAAACCGCTGACCTATGAAGAAGCACATCGAAATCTCAAATACCATACACACAGTTTGGTGAAACCAAGTTCGTATTATTATGAACCACTGCCGTTGCCTCCCGAAGAGGTCGAACCAGTTCCTGTGGTACCTGTGGTAGTTGTTTTCATTTTTTTCTGATTTATTTTTTTATTTGTATATATTTCTTTATTAGAATTGTTTTCAATGATTTTTTTCAATGAAATAGTTGTCTATTATTTTTGGATACTCACCGCGAACGAAAAGTTTATTATGGAATTCTCTTTAATTTCAATACGAAAAATGCGTTTATTTTAAAATGCAAGAATTTTTCCCAATATAATTTTAGATCTGATTGATGTAAAAAAAAGTTTAAACCAACTTTTCGATTTTTTTAATTTCGTTAAAGTAGCTCTTAGAATAACTTATTTTTGTAATCATTGAAAACAATTTGCGAATTGATGTGCTCTGATTTTGTTGCTTTTATTTGAACATTTGAATTTATTTTGTTATTTTTGTTCCTTTTTTTATTTATTTTTTGTGTGTATTTGTGTGTTCCCAATTTGCTTCCTACGCAAAAAAAAGACACCAACTCCACCTTTCTTACAGAAGGATGAAATGAAAGCTGACACACCATCATCGGTGGATCAATCGCCCAGTGCTGTAGTTACGGGTCGTGGTCGTGGTAAGGGTACCACACGTAAACGTAAACCTAAACAACCGAAAAATGCACCAGCTGCCAGTGCTCAACAAACACCACAAATAACGGGACCACAAGTAGTTGGACAGGGGGCACAACAAGTGCCAGGACAACAGCAACAAAATATACCACAACAACAGCAACAGGCCATACCTCAGCAACAACAGCAGGTGCCGCAACAGCAACAACAAATGGCTCAACAACAGCAACAACAACAGCAGCAGCAACAACAACAGGTGCCGCAACAACAGGTTCCACAGCAAGCCCAACAGACAATGAATCCCCAACAGCAAATGGGACAAATGCAAATGAATATGCAGATGAGTGGAAATGTAAGTAAAAAAATAAATAAAAACGTCGTTATGAACGCCAACGTCCAAAGGTGTCAGATAAGGATGGTTTTTTAGAAAAACTACTAAATATGGTATCATTTGTATTTGGAGAACCGGTGGAGCTAGATTGGGGGTCATTGATGGAGTGTACGAAGGCAGTTCGGAAAATTCTTACCCTAGCACAAAAAGCGCGTTATAAACAGAAAAAAGTTAAGTGTTTTGGAAACTACCATCTCTGTTATGAACACATGTTAAATATTGCTTCGATTTGGCTACTCCTTCATATAGAAACAGGTGTTCAAAAAAGATGCATCCGCCATATTTTACAATGGTAAAATTAGAAATGTGTGCTTTCGTTGTAAAAAAATTGCGGATGTGTCTTTTTTGAACTGAAATTTGAACTTAGTATTACCGTAGGATTGTACTAAATCGTACTATAGCTGTTACAATTTGGATTTGGGGGAACCATTAGAACTGGAACACTGAAATTTGGAAATAAGATTATTACTGAATTGTAGAATGTTGGTATCATTCATTACCCTGTGTACTCTTGTAATACATATTTCTAAAATATCCAAATTTCATATAACATTACCGAAATCCAAATTTAATACCATTTAGTACACATTAATATAAATTTCCATAACTATCTACCTAAACAATCATAAGTAGGAATTTCCAAAATTTCCCACATACCCCAATCTTAATTTCAAATTTCATAATTCCAGCTCTATCGGTTCACCTAAATTCTAATTGTATTAAATTTAGTACCATTTAGTACAAATAAGTACAAATTTCCAGAACTACATCCATACCCCCAATCCTACACTGCCAACAGTAATATTAATTCCAAATTTCAGAATTCCAGCTCTATCGGATCAACTAAATTCAATTTGTATCAAATTTAGTACACATAAGCACAAATTTCCGTTGCTACCTACATCATACAATTCAATAGTAATCTTATTGCCCAATTTCAGAATTCCAGCGTTATTGGTTTACTCTAAATCCAAATTGTACCAAATTTCGTACCATTTAGTACACATTAGTAGAAATTTCCAAATCCCCCCTTGCGATGCTAACTGCAAATTTTAGAATTCTAGCTCTATCGGTGCACCCTAAATTCAAATAGTACCAAATTTAGTACACATAAGTACGAATTTCCAACACGACACACGCACATCAGGATTCCAGCTCTGTTGGTTCACATAAATCCAAAATATTATCGAAATTTAGTGTCATTTAGTACCAAGAGATACAAATTTCCAGAACTACATCCATACCCCAATCCTACACTTCCAACAGTAATTTTATTTCCGAATTTCAGAATTCCAGCTTTATCGGATCAACTAAATCTAAATTGTATCAAATTTAGTACCATTTAGTAAACATAAGTACAAATTTCCGTTGCTACCTATATCATACAATTCAATAGAAATCTTATTGCCCAATTTCAGAATTCCAGCGCATCGGTTTATCCTAAATCCAAATTGTACCAAATTTAGTACCATTTAGTACACATTAGTAGAAATTCCCAAAACATCCTATATACCCCAACAGTAATCCTAACTCGAAATTTCTGGATTCCAGTTCTATTGTTTCACCCAAATTGTACCAAATTTAGTACACATAAGTACGAATTTCCCAAACTACCAACATACCTCAATGGTAGTTGGTATGTAGTGTAGTGTTGAGACATGGCGATAGTTCTGGAAATACGTACAATAAGAGAACTTAGGTACTAAATGATAGTGACATTTTAATCATGTTGGATATTGATTATTAAATAAATTTCACATTTGCTACGAAGTAGCGCTCACATACTAGTTTGATACAAAAATGTTCACATAGTCCTGAGAGAATCCAAATATAAAATAACAGCCAGTTCGGTGCCCAAGTTCCCCAAAATACCAAAACATAGGAGGTATCGTGATATGGGCCCTACCTCAAAAAGGGGACCAATATAACTTGTTTGTAAGAAGACTTGCTAAGTAATAAAAAACCAAATTACAACCAAATCGGTTGAAAACATTCCCAAAATACCGCATATTATGGGGGTATCGTAGTATGGGAGGTTATACTAAAACGGTATATCCCATTACTAAACTTCCTACCCGTAATACCAATGTGTGTACCAAATTCCGAAGCTCTATCTGAAATTATGGTAGAGAACGCAATATCTCTACCATAATTTCAACAGACAGATAGGACTGAATCGATATAGAATTTTATTCAGATCAAACAAATATTATTTTGTGGGGTCTCCGACGAAATTAAATATACGAAAAATTGTTTTCCGCTTTAAATGCAATACTTTGAGCCAACGCTACGAGATGTGTTTTTAATCAAGGTCACCATGGCCTATAGAGAATAAATTGAATATCAAATTTATATAGTAATCCGCCCTTCTTCCCACCTAATAGGACAGTTATAATCCATTTGTATCCAATTTTTCGCTTAATCTTTCATCAGGTAAATATGCAACAATTCAACCCCAATCAAATGATGCAACAGAATCCAAATGCCATGATGCAACAACAACAAATGCAAGGTGTACCGGGTAATATGGGACAACAAATGAATGTCGGTAACCCACAACAAAATCAACAAATGAACTTTATGGGACCCGGCGGACCACAAGCAATGCAACAGGCCGGTATGAATCCTCAAGCACAGCAATGGCAGGGACCAAATCAATTCCATCCCATGCAACAGCAGCAACCCCAACAGCAATATCAATATCCACAGCAACAACAGCAAAGTAAGTGTCTAGATCTCAGAATATTTTTACGTCTGGCAACTTCAGTTTCTAATATTTCTTTTTTTCGCACTCAGTGAATCGTTTTGAACGTCCACAAATCAACAATCCCAAGCATGCCCTACAAAATATGTTGCGCCAACGCCAGCCCACATTTAATCAAAACAATCCCAATTTCAATGCAATGCAACAACAACAGCAGCAACAACGTCAAGGCATGCCAACGCAACAGCAACCGGGTGGCTTAAATCCAGTCCAGCAACAACAAATGCAACAGCAACAATTCGGTCGAGCCGGTATGCGTGGCATGGCACCGAATCAAATGGCTGGCGTAGCACCCAATCAAATTGCCCCCGGCATGGGTAATCAAGTTGCGATGGGAGCACAAGGCATGGGCGGTCAAAATCCCATGATGCAACAGCAAATGTCGGCACAAGGTATGAATCCACAAGCCAATACACAAATGGGCATGAATCAAAATGCTGGTATGATGGGTGGTGCTGGCACTGGCAATCCTAATATGATGGCTGCACAGGCCAATAGCGGCATGGTCAATACGGGCGGTATGATGCAACAAAATGTGGGCGTTGGTGTAGGAGTCGGCGGCGTTGGCAACAGCAATGTTGTCAATCAAGGCATGGTCAATCAAGGTGGTCCAGGTCAATTCCAAAATTTCAATCAATACCAGCAACAGGGCATGAACCAAACTCCTGGACCAAATCAACAGGCCAACATGATGGGCGGTTTCAACCAAATGAATCAACGTGCAAATCCCGGAGATTTTATGGCTCAACAGCAGCAACGTGGGCAGGGAGCCATGCCTGGCCAGAGGGGACAGTACATGAACCAAGCACCCAATGTTACCATGAACAATATGATGGGTCAGGGTAATGTGCCACCTTATCAAAGGCAACAATCGACTGGTGGCAAACCCGGTGTCACACAACAACAATTCCAGCAACAACAAAGGATGCAACAGATGATGCAAATGCAGGGTACGTTGACCAAAAAATCAAATCGATGAATGTAATTTGTATCTCTTTTTTATAGGTATGGGTCCTCAAAATGCTGGTGCGGGTGGCATGGGCCAACCACAAAATCAAAATGTTGCCCAACAACAAAATCCCAATCTTGTGGCCCAGTTGCAGCGGCAAATGCCCAATCAGCCAAATATGATGGGCGGACCACAATATCAGCATCCGCCACCATATTAAGAACCTATAGAGTACACGGCATAAGCACTTTTTCATCACCCATCCACTATATTTTTTATAGCTATAGGCTGATTATTAGTAATTGTAAGATTTCATATTTAATCATTTAAATTTAAAAAATTTATTTTCTTTATAGGTATTTCTTTTTTAGTTTTTTTTTCTTTTAAGGTACTAAATGATAGTGACATTTTAATCATGTTGGATATTGATTATTAAATAAATTTCACATTTGCTACGAAGTAGCGCTCACATGCTAGTTTGATACAAGAAGGTTCACATAGTCCTGAGAGAATCCAAATATAAAATAACAGCCAGTTCGGTGCCCAAGTTCCCCAAAATACCAAAACATAGGAGGTATCGTGATATGGGCCCTACCTCAAAAAGGGGACCAATATAACTTGTTTGTAAGAAGACTTGCTATATAATAAAAAAAAACAAATTACAACCAAATCGGTTGAAAACAAGTCCAAAATACCGCATATTATGGGGGTATAGTAGTATGGGAGGTTATACTAAAACGGTATATCCCATTACTAAACTTCCTACCCGTAATACCAATGTGTGTACCAAATTCCGAAGCTTTATCTGAAATTATGGTAGAGAACGCGATATCTCTACCATAATTTCAACAGACAGATAGGTCTGAATCGATATAGAATTTTATTCGGATCAAACAAATATTATTTTGTGGGGTCTCCGACGAAATTAAATATACGAAAAATTGTTTTTCGCTTTAAATGCAATACTTTGAGTCAACGCTACGAGATGTGTTTTTAATCAAGGTCACCATGGCCAATAGAGAATAAATTGAATATCAAATTTATATAGTAATCCGCCCTTCTTCCCACCTAATAGGACAATTATAACCCATTTGTATCCAATTTTTCGCTTAATCTTTCATCAGGTAAATATGCAACAATTCAACCCCAATCAAATGATGCAACAGAATCCAAATGCCATGATGCAACAACAACAAATGCAAGGTGTACCGGGTAATATGGGACAACAAATGAATGTCGGTAACCCACAACAAAATCAACAAATGAACTTTATGGGACCCGGCGGACCACAAGCAATGCAACAGGCCGGTATGAATCCTCAAGCACAGCAATGGCAGGGACCAAATCAATTCCATCCCATGCAACAGCAGCAACCCCAACAGCAATATCAATATCCACAGCAACAACAGCAAAGTAAGTGTCTAGATCTCAGAATATTTTTACGTCTGGCAACTTCAGTTTCTAATATTTCTTTTTTTCGCACTCAGTGAATCGTTTTGAACGTCCACAAATCAACAATCCCAAGCATGCCCTACAAAATATGTTGCGCCAACGCCAGCCCACATTTAATCAAAACAATCCCAATTTCAATGCAATGCAACAACAACAGCAGCAACAACGTCAAGGCATGCCAACGCAACAGCAACCGGGTGGCTTAAATCCAGTCCAGCAACAACAAATGCAACAGCAACAATTCGGTCGAGCCGGTATGCGTGGCATGGCACCGAATCAAATGGCTGGCGTAGCACCCAATCAAATTGCCCCCGGCATGGGTAATCAAGTTGCGATGGGAGCACAAGGCATGGGCGGTCAAAATCCCATGATGCAACAGCAAATGTCGGCACAAGGTATGAATCCACAAGCCAATACACAAATGGGCATGAATCAAAATGCTGGTATGATGGGTGGTGCTGGCACTGGCAATCCTAATATGATGGCTGCACAGGCCAATAGCGGCATGGTCAATACGGGCGGTATGATGCAACAAAATGTGGGCGTTGGTGTAGGAGTCGGCGGCGTTGGCAACAGCAATGTTGTCAATCAAGGCATGGTCAATCAAGGTGGTCCAGGTCAATTCCAAAATTTCAATCAATACCAGCAACAGGGCATGAACCAAACTCCTGGACCAAATCAACAGGCCAACATGATGGGCGGTTTCAACCAAATGAATCAACGTGCAAATCCCGGAGATTTTATGGCTCAACAGCAGCAACGTGGGCAGGGAGCCATGCCTGGCCAGAGGGGACAGTACATGAACCAAGCACCCAATGTTACCATGAACAATATGATGGGTCAGGGTAATGTGCCACCTTATCAAAGGCAACAATCGACTGGTGGCAAACCCGGTGTCACACAACAACAATTCCAGCAACAACAAAGGATGCAACAGATGATGCAAATGCAGGGTATGTTGACCAAAAAATCAAATCAATGAAATTTTGAAAAATCGCATGTAATTTGTATCTCTTTTTTATAGGTATGGGTCCTCAAAATGCTGGTGCGGGTGGCATGGGCCAACCACAAAATCAAAATGTTGCCCAACAACAAAATCCCAATCTTGTGGCCCAGTTGCAGCGGCAAATGCCCAATCAGCCAAATATGATGGGCGGACCACAATATCAGCATCCGCCACCATATTAAGAACCTATAGAGTACACGGCATAAGCACTTTTTCATCACCCATCCACTATATTTTTTATAGCTATAGGCTGATTATTAGTAATTGTAAGATTTCATATTTAATCATTTAAATTTAAAAAATTTATTTTCTTTATAGGTATTTCTTTTTTAGTTTTTTTTTCTTTTAAGTTTGGATCAAATTATACATAGTATTATAAAAAAATGTATTTGAATTTACTTAAATGGAAAACAAAAATAAATATACATATATACATGCATAAATATCAACAAAAAACATGTGATATTAATTTAGAGAGAAAAAGAAGAGAGATTCAAATGTTTTTTTTACAATTGCATTAGAAATAAACCTATAACTATATGGATGGCTAACTAAAATTTGTGGACTGTTCTTAAATACTCTATTCCGGGTTCATCCAGTGGCTTAAGCATTATCATTGATGACTTACGCAACGCCTTCCATAGAAAATTATTGTTGTTGTAGCAATAAAAATGCAAGAAAGGGAATCCAGGAAGGTTGCAACCTGTATGGCCTATATCCGTAATAGTTTAGGACTGGTGTTAACCACTCTACTCCGTCCTCAGTAAATTGTTGTTACTGTATCAACTGAAATATAAAGAAAAAGGCTCGACAACTGAGTAAGTCGTGCGGTTCTAGTCCACATCCTGGGCATGTGTTACGTACCCTATACGAATTGAGGCGGTTGTAACATCCTGTCCACGCTTCTACCTTTGGTCCTTTGTCTCTAGAGCATGAAGATCTACTGAAGCAGGTATCGACAACTTTTAATTTTGCCGATAGACAGGCAGATCTTCGTTTGCGATTAAGATATAATGAGGAGACACAGTGTAACAGGTGTGTATATTCATCTATTGTGTATCACTTACATTCGCAAAACAACACTGGCACCGCATTGCTAACCATAGGTCGGCATATTGCTTTATAAGTTGTCAAAAAAGCCACATTTTCAGTACCCCAAGTTCTGCCGGTCAGCGACATGAGTGGGGTTTGCTGGCAGAAGGGACACCTCTTTAGGATCCCGGGGACAATGCACTCCCGTTACGAATTGAGATTTTTGTATACACGGCCCATAGATGTGCCAGAATCGAACGAATTTGCCTAGGAAGAAGCCTCTCACTATCCGAAATTGCAGGAGAATGTTGGAGTAGGACTTTGTTGTATTTGTAGCCATTTATGACTTCGTAGATTTCATCACGTTCGCTATCGACGATCTATAGAATGACGCCTTGGATGCCTTCACGATCTGGTCGGAATCTGTTCTCCATCAACCATTATGTTTAGTGGGAGCTCCATTTCAACCGTCCAAGTGGTGAATAGTATTGTTGTGGTTTTGGTGTCTGATATTTTTATATTCCTCAGATGGAATAAATTTTGATGATGTTTATCCTCTCACACATGTCATCAATAATCGAACCTTAAAAAATGCAAGAACGTGCAGTTCGTAAATTGTGTGGCTATATCTAAATCTGAACCGATTTCCATCAATTTAAATAGGGTTCGTCCTTGAGACAAATAAATCAACTGTGCCAAATTCTATCTCATTCGGAGCATAAATGCGACCTATGGTACAGGGTTTCAAGACATGATACCCTATACCATTGTGTGTATCTCGCTTAATTGCCTCTTTTTATACCCTTCACCACACTGTGGTGCAGGGTATTATGTCTTTGTGCATATGTTTGTAACAGGCAAAAGGAAACGAGGTAGACACATGGTTCCTTTTGAGAATATGCATAGAATAACTTTTTTAATTTTTTTTAAATTGTAAACAAAGTACAGGTTTATTTGTTATTCACAACTACCCAATTAATAATATTGGGCTACCCACTACCGCAACCTGTGGACGCGTCCGTTAGCATTCAGCTCTGCTCACCGAAGGCGGTTATATTCTACATATCTACAATATATCCAATATGGTGAAGGGTATCAGAAAGACGGCCCAGTTCGAATTTACTACATTCCTTACTGGTTATCTCTTACTTTCTATTCCAAAGATTTTATAAAAATTGATTGTTTTCTTTTTGTTATTTGAATTTTTTGCCTTGTAAGGGCAGTGGTCATTTGAAAGTAATTTTTTTCGAGTCGAGCTTGATGATCTAAGTTTTGCAATGAAAAGGAAAGCCAGGAGAAGAACCTACGTACCCACCATTATGCGACGCGTTTCGCCGTTGGTTAAGCGGCTCATCAGGCATATTGGGCTATGTGGCTTTACAAATGTCGTACGTTGATAACTTGTATTTATTCCGCCCTGATGCGAAACTTGCATATGCGAATTAAATTCAAATTTGTCAAAGTTCTTCTTAAAATTCATCACCCCAAATTGTGTACCCTTGTTGACAAAAAAATAAAACAAATTAAAAAAAAAATTGCACACCTGACCATATTCAACACAAGTCTGTTAATCCCATCTCTGCTTGAAACGTGACATTTGTGTGATAAACAAACCATCTTCCATTCGCCCCCCCCAGCACAGCTCCGGTCATCTAAAAACAAACTTTTGACACACAAACTCGAGAGACACGCAGAGAAGAAGAACAGAACAAAAATAAAACAATGAAATGTGGATAAAAATGAGAGTGAGTGAGTGGTTGGTCGGTTGGTTGCCGCTGGTGGTGGCTTGCGCGCGCAATGCAAGAAACAAATAAACGAAACGAGGAGATACAACAAAACAACACACCGAAACGAAAATTATTACAATTCAAATAAAAGTGAAATAGTCGAAATTCGCTTCCAACAAGAGAGTATTGACGGTTGGTTCGGTTGGTTGCATGTCCCCCAAAAAATAAGTGAGTACCAGTGAGTGAGTTGATGTTAGTGCATCAGTACCAGCAGAAAAATTCTGAACATTTAACTACAAACATAATTTTAAAGAAAAAAACAGAACAGAAGAAAAATAAATATTTTTGGAAAAACACTGACAAAAACAGCCAAAGTAAGTGCCAAAAAGCAGATTTGCCGAATAAACGTTTTTTATTCCACCCAGAGACAGTTTTCTTTTTTTAATTTTTGCCAAGTGGAAATATTTTGCAAACAGTTTTGAAACAATGTCAAAAGTAAAAAAAAAGAATCAATGGGGACTGGCCAAAAGCAAACGAAACAAACAAACAAAAAAACTAATATTGGCTTGAAAAAAATTGCGTAATATCCTCTCCAATATATATTCCTATAAAAGTGAAATTGAATATGGACATTTACAAGGCAATAACACGATAGCCTTAAAACTTCCAATAAAGAACATTTTATAATAATAAAAAAAGAAGTAACACAAAAACAAAACAGGTTTTTTGAGTTCTGAAAAAAATCATTGCTCTCAAAACTACTTGTGATCCATAAAATTCTAAAGTAATGGAAGGCAGGAGGAGGGTGACAACAGCGGTAACATGGAATCCAGTTAAGAACAACAACGTCAACAATTATGAACAAATTTATTAACATATTTATTGGTTTATTTATTTTTTTTTTTGTTGTCATCAGACCATTCAACTTCAGATATAATTAACAGGATTCAGCATCGATATATAGTAGTCAGTTTACAATCACCCGGTACAATGGGGTTCAACGTAAATTTACATTATGTACCTTTATGTCCAGTACCTTTTTTTTTGCATTTTAATATTAATAAAAGTTGTGTGTATTGAAGGTATATTTACGCTCAAAAGTATTGTACATTTTAGGACAACTTTGAATGATTTGTTAGTATGTTAAGTCCTTGAAGAGGGTCGAGTAAATGTATAACATTTTTTTTTTGTGATATAATGACTCACCGTCAATAAAAGTAGATAATTGTTATTGTAAAGAGTTAAGGTCATTTGTGCAGGTCAGGGGCACACCATATGTAATTGGTTTAGTTGTTTTTTTACATCATTCTGTTTCTGAAAGGATATTTTGGTAAGGAGTTTTAATTCCAACCTAAATTAATAAAATTTTGTATTCGGAAATAATGCACATAAGTTGGCCCAGTCGAATTTTTTATACCCTTTGACTGGGTTAACCACGAATTTTTTTATGCCCTTCTTTGTGCATATGTTTGCAACAGGCAAAAGGAATCGAGATCGACACATGATTCCTTTTGAGAATATGCATAGAATCACTTTCTGCATGTCCGTCCGCCTATGTATTTTTGGGAACAAAGTACAGGTCGCATTTATGATCCGATTTGGATGAAATTTGGTTATTTGGCCCAATTGGGACAAAATTTTGCACAGCGTACTGAATTAGGTCCAGAGTGATGTCTGCGAAGTTTTGTTAAAATCGGTTCAGATTTAGATATAGCTCCCATATATAGATTCGTCCGATTTTTTGTGATTGATACACCAAACTCCCAATATTTGTACGATTGGGACAAAATGTTCCACAAAGTACTGAATTAGGTCCAGCCTGATATCTGCGAAGTTTAGTTAAAATCGGTTCAGATTTAGATATAGCTCCCATATATTGTTTCGTCCGAATTTTTTTGTAAATGCTACACCAAACTCCCAATATTTGTCCGATTGAGCAAAATTTGGCATAGCGAATGCAATTGAGGAAACAATTTTGTGTGATAAGGTTTGTTGAAATCGGTTCAGAGTTTGATAAAGGTCTTATATATATATTTTCGTTCGATTTTATGTAAATGGTGCACCGAAGGGCCTATTTTTGTTCGATTTACACGAAATTTGGCAGATGGTATTAAATTGAATATAGAGTGATAACAAAAAACAAATGGTGTATGCAATGGTTACTCAATTAGGTCCATGTGTTTATATATAGCTTCCATACATAATTTTACCTGATTTCTTACAAATGGTACACCAACGAATCGAAGTCTACCCGTTTGACATGCAATTTTTCCTTGAATTCAGAATGTTATGTGTATGTGGTTTTTTAATTGGTTCAAATATATCTATATATATTTTATATCGCCCGATTCCATCTCCATGGTCCTCCAAAGATTCTATGTCTGTTCTATCTACAGGATATTGTAGAAATTAACATCTCTTGT